AAATTTCAGCTGTCAATAGATTTTGAGTTTCTGGTATGGGTATCAGCTTCTGACTCAATCCCCGGGAAGTCATACCGACTTGATACAAACTTAAAAACTAAGTAGGTTCATAAGGCTAAATGTAATCAGAAACTCGCGAAAACACATCTTCCAGTAGATTCCATTCTTTGGGAACGAAACACTACGGAAAAGCGAACTTGAAACCATTAGTTTCTGGATGCAAAAGTGGCAAAATCATCCACACTCTTACAATATATGAGGCATGCGCACGAACGGTTATGAAAATGATCTTATTTTCGCAGAAAGCGAGTAATGAAATGAGTTCAAGAAAGCATCAACCGTAGAATAATCTACATTCTACGTTTTGGTATCAACGAAATGTTTCATGAGCTTTCCGAACAATCTGATATGTTGAATGGTGAAATCGCAATCACACAGACACAAACAAAGGTTACTCTAGATGCTGCGTACATGAAATCGAATTCTTGCTTGACGAGCATCTCAAGTAGGAGCTGTCAGCTCACGTTTTCATGGATCCGGACCCGTTCTCGTGCAGAAATCAAGAAGAAAAATCAAACATAAAATCTCTTTTTTTTCTATTTATTCGCAAATGCTTCCTTTTGTATTTCATTATTTGAATTTGGCTTTGTTATTCAATCTAATTTATCACGATATCTAGATTTGTGGTATGCTTTTTGTACGGAGATCAATAGACATTCTCTGATAACGTATACTTTTTGCTGCAAGATAGTTCCTATCAAATGTAGTTTTTCGAAGATCTTGTTTTCGACGCAAAACATACGTACGCGAATTATATATGATGAATGAAACTTGTGCGAAATTCGGAACAGATGAAACATAAAAGTGGTTGTCTTCAATAGACGTTCGCACAAGTGATAATAAAGCCAGAAAAGATGCAAGTGTCTACGATAAAGAATATTATTATATTTTCAATACTTAATTACATTTCTTCTAACCTGTTCTTTGAATTGTTCAATAAGTGAGGATGTTTGTTCATCAAATTTGTGATTTGATGGTGGCTCGACACTGACAAATTTAGTGTTATTGAAAGCCGTAAGAGCTTGTGTTATTGTTTGATTGGCTAAATTGCAAAGAGTTGCCATGAGACGAAAGAGTGACTCACCCGTAGATAGGCGAAAATCCAGCGAGGAATAGGTAAAATCTATGTCTGTAGCATTAGGCCATCGGACGAAGGAAAAGTATGATACCCAACCGTCATCTTTAATAAAATCACTCGAGCAAATTTGATGAAAGCGCGGCTGAATTGACATAAAACTCGAATATGGAATGGCAAGATTTGTGCATGGGCACGAAAGTGTCAATGAATATTGAGCATATATTTGTTCGAATTGATTTCGAGATGGATTGTGCACTGTAATAATAATTGTGTGAATTGTCACGGACGAATAAATACTCAAAATCACAATTCCAGTAATAAGCAACGCAACATACAAACTAGTTGACCAACGACCCTGTCGTTCATTCAATACCAATCCTGAATTCTGAAATAGGTTCATTGTGGTCAGCATTTGATTGATTTTAAATATGCCATTAATCAAAAGCGTTTGTAACCCTATTTGAAAGAGATCTCTACCTAGAGTGTTAAGTTTGATTGACAATATCAAGAATGATCGTTGATAATAGAGAACTATATAGATTTTTATGTAATTTGCTCTCGAAAGAATAATTATTCATTTTTTTCATAAAATGTAAAAGCTAGCTGTCAGTTGGCAAATTTAAAAACTGTCAAACAGTCTTGTTACATGCCCAGATAAACTATGTATATACTGGAGTTCGACTATTCAAGTAAGAAATATAAATCTCTATTTTAAAATTCATATTTGCTGAGTTTTGAGAAATTTGATATATTAGAAGGAGAAGATAAGCAACGATGTACGTATTCATTTCAATAGGTTCTTATAGCTCTTGTTGTCTATATTTTGACATCAACTATTCAACAGATGATATTAGTACTGTTTTTTGTTCTTTTATTAAAATTATTAGCCTATTCAAAATATGTTCAGAAGACTTAATTCAACTGAATATAAATCAAAGAAACGACAGAGTCTTTTTCATCAGGAAAAACCGCCGAACAAGTTTTCTACTTTATTTTGTAATAAATGCTCTCCAGAGTTTTTGCCATCTCAGTACTAGTGCGGTTTAATCAATGATTTTTTTCAATGAAACATATAACATGCTTCTATATTCTTATGTGAAACACGATTGTAAAAGAGTGTCAAAGTGAACACGAAATAAAGTAAAACTCATCTTGTTCTATAGACATAAGTCAGATAAATATTCAAGATTCAAAGATCATGATAGACATTTTATGATGCATGGCTGCCTCGCCTTCACCGACAAATATCAACATATAAAGGTCTCGTGTTTATCAGCAGAGTGAATCCATCTTGCTACAATTTCAATCTAAGAGGGATTGCATTAAAAGTTTTTTTTAGGAATGCCCGCAGTTTTATTAAATTTCATAGATAGCTTCTAGTTCGCATACACTCACCTGCTTTTTCACGGTTTTCTTCTAACACTTGCTCTCTGGTAACGGGTTGACAACAATGCATTGAACGAACTCGACGAACGACATACTGGACGAAATACTTTGCAAAAAGGTGAAGTACCATAGTGAGTCCACCAATAAGACCGAAGAGAGTGAGAAACACGTAGATAACATAGAACCGTTTTGCATAAGTATACGAACATGATTTGGGATTACATGTGTCAAAGTAAGCAGTGAAATTTCTTGTATCCTGCCAAGTCTCGATGAATAATTCGCTGAAAATCGACTCTATTGTTGCTTTCGGTTTAAAGTGAGATTGAATGGTGTCATCAAGTGGACGACGATATGAAGTGTCACCCATTAATGATTGAATTTGATTGATGCATGTTGCATTATAGAAACATTCCATTGTCGATTGGGATATTGAATAGCGCGGAATACATCCAGCAAAAATACCTGGTACGGAGAACACGGGTGGTGGATCAGGTATAAAATAGTATAACGGATATTCTAGTGTCCAATTACTGAAGAAACCTGATGGATAAACGCATGCATATGCATTTTCACAATCGCACAGAGTTCTTGAGTCAAGTGGAAACGAATAATTAATTGGTAGATAATTGGCGGAATAGGTGATGTAAAATCTACTGCCAGGTACACTTAAAATG